TGCATTCAAAATTCTGAATAATTTGTAATATATAATTATTCACGGTATTTAGAAGTGCCCACGATAACAATATTGTGTATATTAATTACCATGATATATCGCATTACCGAATACCGGCACAAGTCTAACACACACACACACACACACACACACTCACACTCACACAGACGCACACTCTCACAGACGCACACACTCACAGACGCACACTCAGATACACACTCAGACACACACTCTCACACACTCTCACACACACTCTCACACACACTCACACACACACACACACACACACACACACACACAGTTAGTTGCACACACACACACACACACACACACACACACACACACTCATCAAATGCACAGAGAGAAGTGATGAAGTACACAGAGCACAGAGAAACGAGAGGGCGACTGCCATTAGTCTGGGTAGAGAAACCAGCAGAGTCTTAAGCTTTAAGGCTCAAAGACATATAAGAGTGTCAACCATAAAGAAAATAATACAGTTTAAAATGTGTTCATCAGTGTTATTTTAGCATCATTGAAATAGTAGTATAGCTTTATTAATATTTTGAAGTCATTTTTAATGTTATATTTTCCATTTTGCGAGTTAATCTTAGTTAAAATTGTAATAATTTATATACTTATAGCTGTAAATTTTTCGAATTAGATTTGTCATTTTTTTTAAGTTTGTCATTTTTGTTATGTGTTTTTGTTGATTTTATTAGTTTTTGTTTTTTAAAAACTGTTCATATAATTTTTAAATATTTTTATTTCAGTTTTAGTTATTTTAGTACAAGTTAAACTAAATGAAAATGAGAAATGTTGCCTTAATAGTTTAAAATAAGTTTTTTTTTTTTTTTATAATTTCAGTTAGTTTATTTTATCTCAAGAATTTTTTTTTTAAATGGTTTTACTTTTAGTTATAAAGGCAGTTTAGATTAAATTCCTGAAATATATATATATTTTTTTTCTTTTCATAAATATAAAATCATAAATATCTGTGATATTTTTGAGAGTTGCACCAAATTACATTTTACAACCTCAACTCAAATTACGTGATATTTTCAGAGACTTACTGAGCTTGACAGTCATGAGGATTTTTCTGCCTGTGGGTCACACCATGTGACTTTTGACAAGCTTCTCATTTTTGTTATTTTTTCACCCTAAGAAATAATAAAATATTGTCCTTTTTTAATTTATAGGTAGATTAATAGGAAATGGCATCACTGTAGCCTGTACAATACATTAAAAGGCAGCAATGAGTGAGTTTTGGACAGCAGAGATCTCCATCGGATGCTGACATCTCTGTGAATCAAGATGTTCTTTACATCCTGCTGACTTAAATATTCCATCCATCTTTTCCTTGAAATCGTGCCAAATGCTGCTGCTGCTGCTCTCTTTGACCTTTGAACCTCAGAGAACAACAGAGCCATCGTGGAGGATCTGAAAGCGGTTCACCTCACACACTCCACACACACAGATAGCTGAATGATGCGAGAGAAAGCAGAGAGACGGATAGTCTTACGGTCATGACGGATTCGGTGGTCCTGCGGTCCAGTGATTTGGCTCGTCTCAGAGGCGGCAGGGTGCAGGGATGGAAGTCTAAACCCCGCGCCGGGTCCATCTTCTGATCCTGAACACAAACACAGCAGCAGATTTACTCTTTGAGATGTTTTAGTGCACAGGATAAAGGTAAGGTAACATCATTATTACCTGCTGGATAAGTTCTAGAAAACTAGAGAAGCACTTATATTAAGTCTGTCGATACCTAAAAGTACCTAAAAATAATTATTATTTTCATGCTGTCTGAAAACCAATAAATGTCCAGTATTCAAATGTTATACACTACTGTTCAAAAGTTTAGGGTTCGTACGATTTAAAAAAAAAAAAGTTTTTGATTAAAGTCTCTTCTGCTTAGCAGGGCTGCATTTATTTGATAAAAAATACAGTAAAAATTGTGAAATATTATTATAATGTAAAACAGCTGTTTTCTGTGTGAATATCAGTTAAACTGTAATTTATTTCTGTGATGCGCAGCTGTATTTTCAGCATCATTACTCCAGTCTTCAGTGTCACATGATCTTCAGAAATCATTCTAATATGCTGATTATTAGAATCATTTCTGATTATTATCAATGCTGAAAACAGTCGTGCTGCACAATATTTTTGTGGAAACTGTGATACGTTTTATTTTTCAGGATTCACAGATGAATAGAAAGTTCAAAAGAACAGCATTTATTTTAAATATAAATCTTTTGTCACATTATAAATGTCTTCACTGTCACTTTTGATGTCTTTAATGTGTCCTTGATGAATAAAAGCATTAATTTCTTTAAAAATAAAATCTGAACAGTAGTCTACATTTGTCTAAATATTTTTATAATTTGACTTTAAATGAAAATAAGGTAAAATGAAAAGGAAATGCCAATGAAATGTTCTGAAAACAGTCAGTTCCTTTCACCGACCAACACCAAAAAATCTCTAACTATGAGCAATGACTGATAAATGCATCCATACAGAATACTCTAGTAAAAACATATTTATTTATGGCGTTTCATCAAATGTTAACCTTTTATTCAAGTGTGTGGACTTTTGAGTGTGTGGTGTTTATCCATTCATTGAATATGTTTTGTCTTGCTTGAAAAGAGATGCATAATTAGGTCCATATGCTGTGGAATAATATCAATATTTGTCAGACAGTCTGTCGATCACTGACCTTCACAACCAAGAAGCTGCATAAACAGTTCAATTGCCTTCAGAATGAGGCAGAAAACACCAGTAACACATCGAAATCTTGAAAGTAGCGCAAACAATCACAAACAATCACAATCTTGGGCCTCGTTTTAGATTCAGCCTGAGCCTTTTGTTACGCTGACAAATGCGCCTGCTTGCAACAATAATCCTTGTTATTTTTCGGAGCAGTCTGACTTGTGAAACAAATGCTGTTTGTGCTCCTTCAATGATCGCAGCGAATGGACGATACTATCAGTAAAGAATGCCATAAAAACAAGAGGCCTGATCAAAATCTCGACCGCTCACATTGTTGAGAAACCACCAAACCTCGCACTGAACCAGCCTAAGTGGAGACAGACACAAAGTTTTACTAGCACTACTAGTGTGTGTGTGTGAGTGTGTGTGTGTGTGTGAGAGAGAGAGAGAGAGTGTGTGTGTGTGTGTGAGAGAGAGAGAGAGAGTGTGTGTGTGTGTGTGAGAGAGAGAGAGAGAGTGTGTGTGTGTGTGTGAGAGAGAGAGAGAGAGTGTGTGTGTGTGTGTGAGAGAGAGAGAGAGAGTGTGTGTGTGTGTGTGAGAGAGAGAGAGAGAGTGTGTGTGTGTGTGTGAGAGAGAGAGAGAGAGTGTGTGTGTGTGTGTGAGAGAGAGAGAGAGAGTGTGTGTGTGTGTGTGAGAGAGAGAGAGAGAGTGTGTGTGTGTGTGTGAGAGAGAGAGAGAGAGTGTGTGTGTGTGTGTGAGAGAGAGAGAGAGAGTGTGTGTGTGTGTGTGAGAGAGAGAGAGAGAGTGTGTGTGTGTGTGTGAGAGAGAGAGAGAGAGTGTGTGTGTGTGTGTGAGAGAGAGAGAGAGAGTGTGTGTGTGTGTGTGAGAGAGAGAGAGAGAGTGTGTGTGTGTGTGTGAGAGAGAGAGAGAGAGTGTGTGTGTGTGTGTGAGAGAGAGAGAGAGAGTGTGTGTGTGTGTGTGAGAGAGAGAGAGAGAGTGTGTGTGTGTGTGTGAGAGAGAGAGAGAGAGTGTGTGTGTGTGTGTGAGAGAGAGAGAGAGAGTGTGTGTGTGTGTGTGAGAGAGAGAGAGAGAGTGTGTGTGTGTGTGTGAGAGAGAGAGAGAGAGTGTGTGTGTGTGTGTGAGAGAGAGAGAGAGAGTGTGTGTGTGTGTGTGAGAGAGAGAGAGAGAGTGTGTGTGTGTGTGTGAGAGAGAGAGAGAGAGTGTGTGTGTGTGTGTGAGAGAGAGAGAGAGAGTGTGTGTGTGTGTGTGAGAGAGAGAGAGAGAGTGTGTGTGTGTGTGTGAGAGAGAGAGAGAGAGTGTGTGTGTGTGTGTGAGAGAGAGAGAGAGAGTGTGTGTGTGTGTGTGAGAGAGAGAGAGAGAGTGTGTGTGTGTGTGTGAGAGAGAGAGAGAGAGTGTGTGTGTGTGTGTGAGAGAGAGAGAGAGAGTGTGTGTGTGTGTGTGAGAGAGAGAGAGAGAGTGTGTGTGTGTGTGTGAGAGAGAGAGAGAGAGTGTGTGTGTGTGTGTGAGAGAGAGAGAGAGAGTGTGTGTGTGTGTGTGAGAGAGAGAGAGAGAGTGTGTGTGTGTGTGTGAGAGAGAGAGAGAGAGTGTGTGTGTGTGTGTGAGAGAGAGAGAGAGAGTGTGTGTGTGTGTGTGAGAGAGAGAGAGAGAGTGTGTGTGTGTGTGTGAGAGAGAGAGAGAGAGTGTGTGTGTGTGTGTGAGAGAGAGAGAGAGAGTGTGTGTGTGTGTGTGAGAGAGAGAGAGAGAGTGTGTGTGTGTGTGTGAGAGAGAGAGAGAGAGTGTGTGTGTGTGTGTGAGAGAGAGAGAGAGAGTGTGTGTGTGTGTGTGAGAGAGAGAGAGAGAGTGTGTGTGTGTGTGTGAGAGAGAGAGAGAGAGTGTGTGTGTGTGTGTGAGAGAGAGAGAGAGAGTGTGTGTGTGTGTGTGAGAGAGAGAGAGAGAGTGTGTGTGTGTGTGTGAGAGAGAGAGAGAGAGTGTGTGTGTGTGTGTGTGTGTGAGTGTGTGTGTGTGTGTGTGTGTGTGTGAGAAACACTGTGCCATCAACAGGCTTTTCCATGCATTTACCATGGCTTTACTGTAGTAACTCGAACTTCACCATGGTATTGTGATAATGTGGGATATACATTTTATTATATTATTATTAAAGTAGACATGTATTAAATGTATTAAAGGAGTAATGAATGTTACTGAGCTCATTTGTTAAACTAAATGTGTTTAGGCTACTGTGTCTCATACAAATACTATAGAAATCATATAGTTTCATTTTACCATGGTAGTGATGTGCTATGTGTGGTTTTACCTTTGGTTTCACGATGTAATTGTGTGATACTATGAATGACCAATGGTTAATTTTTAATAAAATTAAGAGTCCAAACTCAAACAGTCAGAACTTTTCAATATTACCCTATAAATATGAGGTCGCTACAATTTTTTCAGATGTTACTGTTTTTGTTACTGAACATAAATGTACATCTGCATCGTGCCGTCAGAGTCGGGGAGCACAAAGCGGTTTCGTGATTTGAAACAGTATCAGCCGTTACAAAAGGATTTTACTTAAGTTTACTATTGCATATTTTAATATAGAAAAAAATGTATTATAAATGTTTTGAACATTGTAGCTCAGATTTGTGCAATGTTCAGCTGTTTGGCAGATGTTAAAGAGTCGTTTAAAACCACAATTAACGGTCTGGTTTCTACAGCTTTCACTCAAGAGAAGAAATCTGTCTTTAAACTTGAAAGAAATACAGATTTGACATTTATCGTGATAATTGATATCGATTGACATGAAAAAAAAAATGTTTTTTTTGGCCCTGATTTAGAGCTGGGTGATTTTTCAAATTTTATTGATTAATTTGAATGTACTGTTTTGCCACAATTTTATTTTTAAATCAAGGAATCTTTTCTGCAAAGATATTTAACTAAAGTGAATTTGTTTTACGTTTACATTTACACCATGTTGAACTTGAAGCAGATGGTTAATAAAGACAAAGTTGCAGTTACATTTGAAAGTTGACTAGTTTAATGTAAAACAAAATCAAAATCAAAAACTTGGTCATAATCAAAACCAAAATAAATAAATAATTAATTTTAATCAATACAAAAAAATCGGTCAAACGTTCTAAATGAATAAATAAAAAAATAAATAATTTTTGTTTTTTTTCATATCACCCAGCCCTAGATGAAATACCAAAAAATATTTTAGGGAAAAGAACAATAACAAAAACAAAGATCCTGACAAGATGCACAGCTCTGTAAACCAACCAAACATAACAACAAAGAGCCATTTAAAAATAGCAACTATTAAAGAAATGTATTTGGCCCACGGCACAAGACTAAAAAAGGAAAGAAACTGTCAGGGGAATCTGAGCACATAATGGAAACTGGAAATTAATTGAGGCAAAAGGTCATGCGTGCAAGAGCCAAAAAACTGCAGAACGTTTTCTTTAAAAATCATTAGGTTTTGCTTTAAAGGGACAGTTCACCTAAAAATGAAAATTCTGTCATCATGTTGTTCCAAACGTATAAGTGTCTTTCTTCTGCTGAACACAAAAGCAAAGAAGAACAGTTTCTGGTCGCCATTGACTTCCATAGTATTTTTTCCATATTAAGGAAGTCGATGGCTACCAGCAACTGTTTGGAAACCAACATTCTTCAAATATCTTCATTTATGTTGAACAGGAGAAAGAAACTCAACACGAGTGAGTAAACGATGACAGAATGAATGCTTTTGGGTGAACCGTCCCTTTAAGATGACGGCGTCTCAGGAAGAGCATGATTGCAGTGCCGGCTGTAAAAGCCTCAGAGTGTCTGTGAATGTGAAGACCGGGGTTTGGGACAGTATTCATTACCTCCCGCTGGAATCGTCTGGTTTCACTGCGGCCCGGCCGGACTCCAGCGCGTCTCTCGGCGTGCTCCAGCTCCAGCGCCTCCAGCTTCTCGATCACATTGGAGCGCCCGCTACGAATGCAGAAGCAGGATGAGATCTTAACACGCAAGATTACAGAGCAGGGATAGATTTGGCTTAATCTAAATTTGCTCCACTGTTAGGTTGAGATGCTCTCCATGCTGCTCTCTGAACGTTCATATGTGCATCTTAATGCAGCTGCATGCATGACTGATCAAAACACCCTTCAGCGAGGCATTAACAGAAACACTGTTGGTTATGTCTTCAGTGAATGCAAACAGGAAGAACCAAAACGTGTCAAAATATGAAAACAATGTCTCCCCGTGTAAACTCAGTAAACTGTACAGCTCATTTTAATTACAGGACTGCTGCTCAGTCAATGAATGCATCTAATAAATATATTATTGGAAATATCAAGTCTATGGATTTTTTGTTCTTTGCTATTTATTTTACAAAGGACAGTTTACTTGAACAATTATACTGGGAAGAAATGTTTGCTAAATTGAGAAATTCAGTAAAGGAGTGTTCAAAAGCAAAAACATTTGCAACATTATAAAAACAATATATAAATTACATATAATATATTCTACAAGTTTAAAATATATAATAATAATATTAATGTATCATATATTTTTTAATATTATACGCTACTGTTTAAAAGTTTGATGTTGGTAAGATTTTTTTAACGTTTTGAAATACGTCTCTTCTGCTCAGCAGGGCTGCATTTATTTGATCAAAAATACAGTAAAAATTGTGAAATATTATTACAGTTTAAAACAGCTGTTTTCTATGTGAATATGTGTTAAAGTGTAATGTATTTCTGTGATGTGCAGCTGTATTTTCAGCATCATTACTCCAGTCTTCAGTGTCACATGATCTTCAGAAATCATTCTAATATGCTGATTATTAGAAACATTTCTGATTATTATCAATGTTGAAAACAGTCATGCTGCACAATATTTTTGTGGAAACCGTGATGCGTTTTATTTTTCGGGATTCACAGATGAAATCTTTTCATCTTTTCAGAAATGTTTTGTAACATTAGAAATGTCTTTACTGACACTTTTGATGACTTTAATGTGTCCTTGATGAATACAAGTATCAATTGGTAGAGTATATAATGATCAATATGAACTTAAGGGGTTAAATGTGTCTCCTAGTTTTGGCATTTCCCAACATACAGACAGGAATTCAGTTCACAAAACGATGTCTGAAAATATTAAATGACTTTTTTCAAATGTTGCCCTTATTTAGGATCTGCACAGCATTGTCAGCCTCCTTAAAAGGAAGAAAGAAAGCCAGTCAGTGAGGTATTTGTGTCACATGACTGCTCACAGCCTCATTGGCTACTGGGTACAAAGTGGCACAATTCCCATAAACCCAAATTAAACCGGAGTAGAGAGTGTTCTGTTCTTTCTCTATGAATTCTTCAGCGCTGCTCATCTATGCTTGTCGGTAAAAAGTGAGCTGTCTTAAGTACGTCAGAGATGCTGTTTGATGGGAGCTCCTCGACAAACACAGCAGCACTTACTTTGACAATTTAGTTGTAAAAGCAAGCAAATGTAAGCTTAGAGATTTCAGTTTAATACAGGCTCAGTGCTCAGACAGCCTCCTGCTTTTAATGGATCAAAGAAACATCTCGGAATCTTGCTTCGGAAAAACTGACATTGATTTAGAGGAAAAGTAGAGAAAATATGGAGCTCTTTTTACAAGTAGATAATGTGGCATGTTAAATAATAGAGTTTTTTTAGTGTCAGTGAGACATATAAATATTTTGAATCAGTTTATATTTTTATTTTAGTAATTTTTGTTGTGCGTTTGTCATTTTTAGCAGTTTTTGTTTATTTTATTTGTCTATATAAAACTATATAAACTCAGGATTTAAACAGGCATTATTTATGTAATTATAATTTTTATTTATTTGCATTTCAGTTTTAGTTATTTTAGTACATCAAGTTAAACTAAATTAGGTAAGACTTAAGTTTTTTATATTTTATTATATTTCAGTTGCCATTTATTCAAGAAACAATTTTATTTTGCTGTCTTAGTTAACTAAAATAAACCTGCAAATCCCAGATTTTTTTTTTTAATATGAGATTGTACTGAAACTGTAACTTAAATAATTTTCTTTACTTAATTATAATAAAAAAAAATTGCACTACTAATTGTAACAAATAGTTTTAAGTAATTTATCTTTAAAATAATAAAAAAAAAACATTTAAACAGATTACAGTTATTGGCACAATTTTAGTTATCTATTTTTAATTATAATTTTAATTTATTATATACGCTGGGGTGGGAAAATTTTAATTTTTCAGTATTTTGTATTATTTAAAATTTTAATACATTTTTTAATTGTTAAATTGTATGAATTCTACTGATTAAATTTTTATATTATTAAAACGAAACTAAACCATGAGAAGAAAAACACAGAATTTGGGTTGTGTTGTTCTTTTGGAGAATATAATAAAATGTACCAAAAAATTTAATTCGGGAAAAAACGTTGATAATGTTTACTGACTGTTTACAGCAGGGCGCCGATGTAACAATTCCGTAATCTCCATGATTCCATGTCAAAAGCATGTTGCAAAGCACTTTCTGCCTAATAAGGTGCATGTGGTTTTATCCCCGTTATACGCCTTAGAAGGAGGCGCAGAGAGCGAGTGTGTGCGGGAACGGCCTGCGCTCACCTTCTCTCCGGGCTGAACACAGACTCCTGTCTCTCCGGGCTGCGCAGACGGCTCCGTTTCTCAGGCTTGCGGTTCTCTGCGTCTCCGCGGCGGGACAGAGAGGTGTTGCCGCTGGCATCCGAGTCCAGAGAGCTCATGGAGCCGCTGATGTGGGAACCGTTGGACAGCAGGCTGCTGCCTGATGGGAAGGGGTCGCTGGGTGCAGGGGACAGGCAGCGCGGGACGCCCCCCATCTCTGTGCTGTGCCGGCTGGACGAGCTGCCCGCGGGCGACAGGGGATCATGAGAGGGCTGGGAAACAGCCGAGTGGAAGAAGAGCCCGCTCCGATCCACCTCGTCCCCGTTCACAGAGCTCTGATCCGAGCACCGGCTCACCATCAAGCCCTCACCTATAGAGTGCAATGGAGAACAGTGACTTCAGGCGGGGTTTTAGCCAGACTAATGTGTATCTGAATTAGGCCCGTCAATTATGGCTGAGAAATTGCCCCCAAAAGATCATTTAAAGTGTTAGATGAGCAGAAAAAAGCAACTTTAGAAAGAAATATTTTGATTGAGCATTGCATAAATGTGACCCTGGAGCACAAAACCAGTCATAAGGGTCAATTTTTTTTTTTTACATTTAGATTTATACATCTTCTGAAAGCTGAATAAATACTCTTTCCATTGATGTATGGTTTGTTAGGATGGGACAATATTTGGTTGAGATACAACTATTTGAAAATCTGGAATCTGAGGGTGCAAAAAAATCTAAATATTGAGAAAATCATCTTTAAAGTTGTCCAAATGAAGATCTTAGCAATGCATATTACTAATCAAAAATTAAGTTTTGATATATTTACGGTAGGAAATTTACAAAATATCTTCATGGAATAGTTACATCTCGGCCAAATATTGTCCTATCCTAACAAACCATACATCAACGGAAAGCTCATTTATTCAGCTTTCAGATGATGTATAAATCTCAATTTTGAAAAATTGACCCTCAAGAGTGGTTTTGTGGTCCAGGGTCACACATCACTGTATTCTAATAGACGTTCATCATGATCATCAGACTGCATCAGTGTGAGATGACAGACAGCTCTGGATGAGGCGCTGCGTTAAACGCCTTAATCGTTTTAACTCGTTTAATCGCACCAAACTAACCGGTTAAACCGGCAGCCCTAGTCTGGATGTCTTCCGCACCTGCAGAGGGCAGTGGTGAGCCGAGAGGCGGCATCTCGCTCCACGTCTGCGACACCTCCGCCTCTCTGCTTGGCCATATGATGGAACTGCAGTCTGGCGTCTTCTCCGCTTCTGGGATGCAGGAGCCGGTCACCGCTACCTTCGCTGGGCCTGGTTCCTGAAATCAAACATATAACATCCATGGTTTCATCACTCGCCGTTTGTTTCCATTAAAATGTGGACGTGGAAAATGGAATTTGTGACCCGTGCAAAATGAGTCGGATCTGGATATACACTAGCGGTCAAAAGTTTGGGATCAGAATGATTTTTAATGTTTTTTACAGGAGTCTCTTCTGCTCATCAAGGCTGCTTTTATTTGATCAAAAATACAGGAAGAAATTTTATATTGTGAAATATTATCATGATGTAAAATAACGTTTTTCTATTTTAATATACATTAAACTGTAATTTATTTCTGTGATGCGCAGCTGTATTTTCAGCATCATTACTCCAGTCTTAGTGTCACATGATCTTCAGAAATCACTCTAATATGCTGATTTATTACAGTTTTGCTGCGTAATATTTTTTTGTAACCTGTGATACTTTTTTTCAGGATTCTTTGATGAATAAAGTTAAAAAGAAGAGCATTTATTTAAAATATAAATCTTTTCTAACAATACACACACTACCGTTCAAAAGTTTGAGGTCGGTACATTTTTATTCTTTCCTTTTTTGAAAGAAATTGAAACTTTTATTCAGCGAGGATGTGTTAAATTGATCAGAAGTGATAGCAAAGATTTATATTGTTAGAAAAGATTTATATTTTGAATAAATGCTCTTCTTTTTTAACTTTTGTGATAATTCTCATTACAAGTCTTACTGATCCCAAACTTTTGAGCGGTAGTGTGCACAGAATTACAGTATTTCTCTCTTGTCGAGTATTCACACAAACATATGTCTTAAATGAACGTTTGGTTAACTGTTGGCATAGTAATTATTAACTATAATAATACATTTACATTTATGCTAAATGCATATTTATCTAAATTATTTGGTAACACTTTACAATAAGGTGTCATTTGTTACTGTATTAACTAACACGAACTAACAATGAACAATACATTTGTTACAGTATTTATTAATCTTTGTTAATGTTAATGAAAAAACTGTTATTCATTGTTTGTAATGATGACTAATGTTAACAAATACAACTTTTGATTTTAATAATGCATTAGTAAATGTTGAAATTAACATGAACTAAGATTAATAAATGCTATAGAAGTATTGTTCATGCTTAGTTCATGTTAACTAATACAGTTAACTACTGTTAACTAATTAACCTTATTGTAAGGTGTTACCAACTTTTTTTTTTTTACAAAAAAAACTGCATGTGCTAAATGCATATATGTTTATTAAAACATTATTTAGTTTTAATTTGAACTACTAGTAAACCACTGTTGTGCAGCACTTTATTTGCCAAACTGAAAGGAACTGGTCAAATTTAATTTGATTACAATTTTCATCGATTAAACTGTTAAAGCTTTATGCATTCATTTGATTACCAGCATTTTTAGTAATAAAACTGTATTAAATAATACAACACAGAATCAAGAAAAATTAAAAACAGACAACAGAATTTCTGAAATAAATAAATAAATAAAACATTTCATAGGGCACTCCTAATTGTTGAATTAATAGAATACATTAGGGTCAAAGACAGAAAAGGGTTTAAGCATAAAAACAATAAGTGTAATACTGCTTTAAATTGTTGTTGTTTTTAACAACAAAAATTAAAAAGTTTTCGGTTTAATTTAATTGCAATTTTCTTTTTGTTTTTCCGAGCAAAAAATAAACCATACATTTTTCCCTGATTTACAGAAGAAACCCACTAAAATGTCATTCAGTGTAACAATCTCATCAGGCATATTTACAACAAAAATCAATTTATGACATATTAAAAGACTCATTACTTTCACCCCAAATACTAATTAGTTGTAATTTTATATTTTTAAAATGTGCCTCTATCCTAGCTTTTGCCCGTTTGTCAATAATAATTTTTACTCATTTAAAACACAATATGCTCCCTTATTCTTTTATATATTTTAATATGTACACATCAGAATAAGCATGTTGTTTGAATTTTTACATAAATATTGTGTTACACTGAATGACAATGTAACATTTTATTCTCCAAAAGCTTATTTGAAACCTTAAAAGTACATTTTAATGTGCTTTCTATGGACATAAAATCACTTTTGTACATTTCTTTTGATGCGGACATCTTAACGTCTTTGACCCATTATTAATTTGTTACAATTTTGTGAATTCTATTGATTAGACGTCCTTTTTGATTATTTACAACGTAATAAAACCACTGAAACAGAACAATCCAGAAAAGTAAAAACAGAAAAACACAGAATTCTGTTTGAATTCAGGTTTAAATAAAATGGAATTCGGTACAAATAACACAGATTTCATAGCGCAATAAAAGCAGAGCTGATGACTAATATTACAGCAGGTCGCAGTGGTAAAGTACCTGTGAGGTTGCTGGCTCCACTTTGCGCTTCTTCTTTTGATTTTGCTTGTTGGTTCTGGGATAAACCACAAGCTGTTCACTCCATCTGGTGAAAGACAGGAGAGGTCATGATCATCACTGACTTCAGCTGGAAAAATGCCTGTTATTGACTTCTTGCATCATTGACAAACTCCTGTAAAGCTGCTTTGACACGATCTGTATTGGATGAAGCGCTATACAAATTAAGAGTTCATTTGTAAAAACCGATAACTCCATTTTTTTTTTTTTTTCAGAAATCACATTTTTTTTTTATTGTGCATTCCAAGTAATATCAATCAAACTGCAGTTGGGTTGGTTTGATTAAGTAATAATAACTTAAACAAATACAGGTAATTTACAAAATTAAAGTTCATTGAAGGTATGGGGTTTTGTACATATTAAACGTTTGTTTTATAGCAAAAGCAGATAACTCCACATTTCATGTTTTAGAGTTAAAAAAACACTGGTTTAATCTTTGTAATCTCCTCAGATGATAATGTAGACGCCTGACAAACGTTGTTGTTGTTGTGATCATAAACTGTATGGATGTGATTACACGCAATACACGGAGCTTTTCCCTCAACACTGTAACGCGCTGCTTTTGCGAGCTTCCGTGAAAACGTTTCAGCTTTTATTTTCCTTTTTCTCCCTGAAGAAGATATCACAGGTTCATCAAGTTCGTCGAAATGATCCTCGATCACTTTTAGTCAGCTTTGACGAGACTCCTCTCAGCTAGCACGTCTTTTCAGAGTGAAAGTAGCCTTGTCACCTGACCTGAATACAGCGCGCTGATTCGCTGAAATGGATTTATCGGCTTCTGTTAAAAAACAGCAAGGCGCTTGTCGGCTTCTGCAGTAAAACGTGAACTCACGATGCCTTGAAAGTGGACAAAACCGGCTTTTTTGACAAAACGTGTATAGGGTTCAGATCGCGCTATATGTGGAGAATAATGCACGGCA